TGAACACAAATTAGTTAGCATGAATCAGTTAAATGACGAAAAATTAGGTGTCTATTTACTTGTGACCACTCAGTGTAGAGAAATAAAAAAAGGAATTTTTCAACTTCAAGTAATACATTGTAAAATTAAAGGTTTAATTTTACATCGAAACCACGACAAATAATGTTTTATGTCTTTTATTAGTGGTGTCCATCCAGTATTGGGTAGTCATTGGCCAATGTTTTGATTAATACCTACTGGTGGGCCACTGTCTTATGCGTGGATGGCAGTAGCTTCCTTTTCTGTCGCCCCCAGTAGCACAGCGGTATGTCTGCGGACTTACAACGCTAGAAACCTGGTTTTGATACCCGTGGTGGGCAGAGCACAGATAGCCCATTGTGTAGCTTTGTGCATAACTTAAAACAAAAACCTTCTCTGTCTATTATTTTGGCATCTTTAGATCTATTATATGGTCGTTTTCCTGAACATGAAAAGCCGTAGCTGATGTGTTTACAGTACAATTCTTAATATCTATTTGGTGTTCGTTAAATCTTACCTGTAATGGGCGTTGTGTTTTCCCAATGTATTGCTTATTACACTTACACTTACTGCTATAAACCACGTTCGTTATGAGAGGACTGGGAAGTAGGGAGTTTACCTTCGTAAGATTGTTGTGTAGTAGAGAAGGACTTAAGAAAACTATAGTGATGTTAAGTTTATTCATTATCTTTCAAAGTTTTTCTCCTAGGACTAGCATATAAGGAAGAAATGCCTTTTTCCTTTTGTTGTGATTTTCAGGTTGTGGTTCATTAGTAGTTGCCTCCAGTGGTACAGTGGTATGTCTGCGGACTTACAACGCTAGAAATCGGGTTTCGATACCCGTGGTGGGCAGAGCACAGATTGCCCTTGTGTAGCTTTGTGCATAATTGAAAACAAACAATTATCAGTAGTTGAGACAGATGAACCATAATAACACACGTTGAATCGTTTTATTTGGATAACCGTTATTCCTGGAAATCTTCTCAAGATGTTTAAGTTCTTCATCTAGATAAAACGAGGAGCTTTTTCTTGTTGACCACTACTGTTTATCGGAAAAAATTCTCAAACAAATAAATATCAGAATTTTTGCTCATGCCATACAATAGCTGTCAAAACTGGGATTATCAAAACACTAAAATCTAGAGCTCGCAAATAAAAGCATTTTAACGTAGAGAAAAGTCCGTCTATAATTCTATATATTAATTTACCTACGTTATGAGTCTTAAAAAACAAATTTTGTCCTGATGGTGACTGAAAGGTATTTTAAATAATAAGGAACAATTCCGACTCGTCAGTAAGCGATTTTGGAAAGTCAGAATTGATCAAAATATGTTATTTTAAACACATATTTACTTCCATACGATATTCTAGTTTTCATGTAAGTAGGGATGAATGCTAATTGTGGGAGGGTCAGAGAGAGAGAGAACAATCCACCCTTTGATGAAGTTAGAAGAACCTGATAGTAAAGTACCAGTTGACGTCTTTTACTGTACGTGCTGTACAGCTACAGTACGGTTCAATGCTAGGACACAAATTATTACATTTTCCCTTTAGAGAAATCCAAAAGCTTCCAGGGACCTCCGTAATAACTTTCCTTCTCACAAATTAAAGATGCAATGACATTACTACATGTAACATTTGAATGTTAATTATATCATGGTGAAAATTTGTTTGTAGTTATGCATAAAGCTACACAATAGGCTATCTGTGCTCTGCCCACCATGGGTATCGAAACCCGGTTTCTACCGTTGTAAGTCCGCAGACATACCGCTGTGCCACTGGGGGGGGGGGGCATATGGCGAAAAAGGAACGTAATATTCGAAATAGTTTGACATGATTACTTAGTGTTTCCACTTTTTTGTAAGTATTGTTTTATTAATTGCTCTTATTTTCTTAAAGATATAAACACAGGTCATTAAAGCAAAGAGGTAGCAAGTGCAAGAAGCTTATAATAACTTACATTTGTTTTGTGCTTAGGTAGCAGAAGCAGTTCCTTTGGAAAATTTACAAATTCCTGTGATCTTTGTTATCGGTAAGTGGGCTTTTAGGTTTGATATCTAAAGTATTTTCAGTCTTTTAAATGTTTTTGTAGAAGATTTGAAATATCGTACATGGCTTTATATTATAATTATGAAGTTATTGATGAAGTAATTTATTGCTGAACTGAAATATAGCAATATTGAAAATATGTCTAATATTAAACATCCGTAGGTAATATCCAGAAATTATTAGGTATGTTTTACATTTTAATTCACATATCAAACTATTGCTGAAAATCTTTCTGAACGTGAAAGACTAGATGATTATTCTCACTCTACAACTATTCATCCGACCCAAGTTCGTTCTCACAAACTTTACACATGTGAACTCTGTCTTTGAATTTTCACGCGTGCTTTTAGTTTTAGGACGATGTTTCTGACTCCACGCTAAGTCCTTTATCAACATATAACCTGTAACTCCGTCTCAAGAACGTACAAGAGCCTCAAAATTTCATAAAATACAGAGTCCATATGCCCGAATACATTATCTAAACCCAGATTGAAATATCGATTTTACCGTTTGATTTTTCTTTCAGTATCTTGTTCTGTATACGAATATTTTGTATGATGTATTTCAAACGTCATACATTTGTTGTTGTGGTATTTAGGTGGACCAGGTTCTGGAAAAGGAACCCAATGTGCAAAGATCGTTGAGAAATACAATTACACTCACTTGTCTACTGGGGACCTACTAAGAGATGAGGTGAACTCGGGGTCAGATAGAGGGAAGAGATTGGTTGAGACCATGCAACGCGGAGAACTGGTGTCTTTGGTAGGTGCATAGTACATTAGTGAATAACTTTTTCCAATTATGTTTAACACTGACGTAAATAGTATGCATGAGCTGAAATGGAAGTTTTTTACCACAGTTAAACACGTGTATTTTAAGTTCATAGAGCCAACTCGTGTTATCAGTGCAAAATCTTCCGAATGTGCCATTCGAATACACTACGTTGTCCACGGTCTTTTTTTCTATCTAACTCGACACAGATTTCCGAAAAACATAATATTACAGTCTTGAATAAGTCGCCAGCTTACGTAATTTCGGTCTATTTTCTGTAATAGAAATAACATCAATGTTTATTTCTCGTGACACGTAACACCCTTCTTGCATTCAAATGTGTAAACTTTGATGATGATAATAAGTTGCATTTTCGATATACAAAATGAAGGAATCCTTGTTGGATTTATTTCGTTGAATATTAAAGAAACTACAGGTGAAAGTCTGAATGAAGTTTCTCTACATCAATTATGAATAAAGTCTGAAAACAGCTAAACTACGTTACAAACGGTTCTTTCGGCTGTAACGCGATTAAAACAAAATATGATAGCATTTTTTGTAAATTAAGACCAAGAAAACGAGGCAGTGGTTTATGTTTTTCATACAAGAATTATGTACCGTATTTTTCGGTGTATAAGACGTACTTTTTTACCCCAAAATTTGATGACAAAATCTGCTTGCGTCCTATACACGGAAGGTATGAATAATATATATGTGTATATACGATATACACAAGCCATGTGTAAATATATTTAAATAGGCATGCATAGTTTAGTTCAATTGAATGTGTTATTTATAACAATAGTAGTTCTTTTCTTTCTTTTAAAAACATAACTATTTATAATGCTCCCTAAATAATAAAAAAATAAATTACATTGAAAGCAATGAAGATTTTGTAGGTTTTGAACCAAAGTAAATAACAGTAAACCTTTTCTTATTTTGATGTTTTGAGATCTTTTATGTTTAGAACAATATATACTAATTTTTAAAGTATCAAATTGAACTTTTTGTTCAATAAAAATCTTTCAAATGCGACTGTAGCTTTTTTTCTCCCAAAACTTTGTCTTCAAAATAAGGGTGCGTCTTATATTCCGAAAAATATGGTACATCATGAAACAATTATAAAAAAGATATTGGATACATTGTTGGAATACATGCTCCTTTGACCAGAAACTTACCAAGTCAAAAATCATGTGAAAGTGAATCTTTTGATTCTATTGATAAAGCAAGTCATATAATAAGCATTTCAGTACTAAATAACATATGCTGTATTATATTACCCACAGATGCAGAACAGTTATTGCTTAATATAGGAAAACAGATTGCAAAATATAGCAGAGAAACCAAAGAAACTGCATCCAGTATAATTGAACACTTCATAATTGAAGTATTAGGTCATGAAGAAATTAATGTTGCTTTTTTTAGATGAAAAAACCAGAACAACTTTTATATAAAACAAAACATTTATTAAATGAAATAGTCTCTATTCTTATC